CCACCCACCTTCCTCTTTGAAGCTGCCTTTCTTTTTAAACAGTCAGCAGCAAAGATACACATGAGAAATCCGGTGTTAAAACGATCTTCCACAGAGCCATCGTCACTTTGACATCTGCTGGTCCCGTTTTCATTCAGAAGTTGTCTCTGGTACCTGGTCTTCTAGTCACCAAGTTGACAAAGTGGCTTTGTGACTCTGAGGAACTTTGCGGTGTCAGGTTGCGAGACAGGGCAGGAAACCTCTGATCCCAAGCCACTGGGGGCCAACGCCTTCAAGGACCGAGTTCAGAGGAGGCTTCCCAGGGAGGGTGGACTTTGAGCTAGACCTGACGGAGGGGGAGTTTTTGACGTTGGGGGTAGAGTGCAAAACATGGGGACTGTCTATGAGAATAACTGCTGGCATTATTGCCCAGTGTGTTTGGTGTGTCCTTTCATCTCCATGCTGGAACCTCCATGTTATTAGTACCCTTTCTCCAGTGAGGAAACTGAGTCGAGAGATTAGGTGGAGCTAAGATTTGAATTCAGGCCCGACTCCAGAGCCTGTGTGCACAACCACCACGCCACGTGGATACAGACGGGGTCTAGGTTCTAAGAGGGTTGGGGAGTCAGGTGTGGGGTCTGGCAGCTTTGACCATCAGGCCCAGGAGTTGAGATTTTATTTGGCAGGCAGCAGTGCCCCGTCAATGTTTTAGACTGAGGAATTTGGGTACATTGGGACGGTCAATCTGGTATCTGCTTGTGGAGTGAAGGGACCGGGGAGGCCAGCCAGGAGGCGATTGCAGCTGCCCAAAGGGGGGGGGCCACACCCACGAGTGGCCGTTGGCTGGACAGGGTGAAGGAGAGGTGGGAGGTGAAGCCCAAGGTCACACTGGAAGTCAAGCCCTGGTGACTGGATGAGAGGGGAGTCTGTTACAGAAAGCTGCCTTTTACTTTTGGTCTTATTTTGATAGGAGGAACAGAGCTGGAGACGTTCCAGTCATTCATTGCATTACATTTTCCTGGGGGGTGAAGGTCAATCAAGTGGTCACCTTAGAGGTTCCTCAGATGCCCCTGCAGGGTTGGTTTACACCTATGGCTCCCGTGTGAGAAAAGTAGAAGTAGGAAGAAATCAAGAGAGTAGAACAAAGATCTCTCTTCTCACCTAGTAACTTTTCCACCAATTTTTTTATTGTGATAAAATACACACCCCATAGAATTTAATTTGATGTCTTAACCGTATTTAGCGTACATTTCAGTGGCATTGAGTACATTCACACTGTGTGCAGCCCTCAGCACCATCCACCTCCAGAACTTCTTCATCTTCCCAAACTGAGACTCTGTCCAGTACACGCTACCTCCCACTTCCCCTCCTCCCAGCCTCGGCACCCGCCGTTCCATATTCTGTCTCTATGAATCTGACAATGGTAGGTGCTTCTGATGAGCGGAGTCATACAGTATCTGTCCTTTTGTGACTGGCCTATTTCACTTAGCATAATGTCCTCAAGGTTCACCCATGTTGTAGCACGTGGCACAACTTCCTTTCTTTTTAGGGCTGAATAATATTCCATTGCATAGATATACCAGAATTTGTTTACTGTATCAGTCAATGGACATTTGGGTTGCTTCCACCTTTCAGCTATTGCAAGTAATGCTGCTATGAACATGGGTGTACAAATATCTCTTTGAGTCCCTGCTTTCAATTCTTTTGGGTTTCTACCCAGAAGTGGAATTGCTCGGTCGTATCTGACCTGCTGACTTTTTATAAACTGAGTCAGTATGGGGAAACACACAGAATGTGTTCAGTAGGACCTTACTCAACCTTTGTATTGCAAGTAATGTCACAGAGTTAGGATCAGTTGAGAGAATGTCTTGGGAAAATGAGATATTAGTTTCAAATCTCCTTTACCATGTATTAAATACATTGTGAATTTTAGTCATGGGCTAAAATTTTGAGTAACCAATATTATTCAAAACAAAGTATGACGTTTAAAGTCTAGAATGTGATGATTCTGGAATACCACTTCAGCCACCTTGATCAGCATGGCCTTTGGCATCTGCTTCTGCTGGAGTTATCTCACTGAAACGTGGTCATTTAGAGGGTGTTTAGACAAATGTCAGAACTCACTGGGTTGTTTGCTTATTAAGGGAGGGCCCACATCTCCTTCATTTCTGCATTCCTAGTTACTGGCATAGTTCCACTGTAGGGTAGTTTTTCTGAGTGTCTGGTGTTTGTGAGGATGAAGAGGGGTTGTTGGAGCAGACACCAGCCACGTCCACACACCACCCAGATCCCCATGCCAGGGTCGGGGCTGCTGCCAGGGCCGAGAGATGACTCGGGATGTGATGGTGAACAAGGCCCTCCTGGGCCAGGGGACAGTCTCAGCCCCACTGTGCGGAGTGTGCCCAAGAGGAGAACTAACTTCCTCTGATTCTTTGCCATTTCCCTGACCCACAGTACATACCTTGTAGAGAAATTTGGCTTGCTTTTTTTTTTNTTTTTTTTTTCTGCTAAGACAAAGCAGACTATAAACTTTTAAAAATTGGTATGATACAATTAGATGTTTACCATACAACCCCACAGACTTAGAATTCTTAACTGTGTCTGCCTCTGTCTAACCCATGTCAATGCGTTTACCCACGGTCATGCTACGTCTTGGTTTCTGTGTCGTGTCGTGGTACGTGCATTAGTCTGTTTTTTGTTGCTTGTAACAGAATGCTTGAGACGGGGTAATGCATAAAGAAAACAGGTTTGTTTCTTATAGTTTTGGAGGCTGGGACGTCCAAGGTCCAGGGAGCACATCTGGTGAGGACCCTCTTGGTGGGAGCTCTCTACAGAGTCCCATGGTGATGCGGGAAAGCACATGGCAAGAGGGGCAAGAGTGCTTTAATGTGCTCACTCCACGCCCGTCATAACCCATTAGTCCATCAGCCCATTGGGGGCCTCACAGTCCAATCACCTTCTAAAGGTTCCACCTTTCAACACAGCTGCATTGGGGATCAGTCCTCCACATGAGTTTTGTGGGGACAAACATTCAACCCATATCAACATAGAATCCTCTCTTGCGTGCTGTCATTGAGCTCCAGCTTTGCCACGAGGGTGCTATGCCCATTTACAGGTGGGGAAAGGGACCGTGTGCTGGGAGGGCCTGAGCCTGCTGTTGGGCTTCACCTCCCCGCTGTGGGTGCTGTGTATTTCCCACCTTGCCCAGGAATTTAACACAGGGGTGTGTGTGTGTGTGTGTGTGTGTGTGTGTGTGTGTGTGCGNTTATTTGGAAGGTATTTCAACTATTTGAAGTTTGTTTTTGGCCCTGTGTCTTGATAGAGA